GGTAGCTATTGCATATTGAAACTTTTTTTGCAGTTTTGAAAATTATGCAGTGGAAATGTCACAATACAATATCAATTGAATACGTTATGGCCAAGTATCGGCCATTTTCATCACATTACTTTTCTTCGATCTTAGTTCTGTTCGAACTCTCGATCTTTGGAATGTGAGTTAGGCATACTATTCCCTCCTCAAATACCAGCTTCCAAACAGTGGAGACGAGAGTGGGTATAAAGAAAGAAGAAAGGAGTGAATAAATTGATAAAAGTTATGGGAAAGAGAGCGTCGATCAAATATAAAGAAAGACAGTTGCTGTTTCAACAATAATAGAAGGCCAAGAAAAATCGTACCGAGAATGGTCAGTTCTAACTTCAGGGAACAATCTACAAAAGTTGATTCATTTACAAAGAAAAATAAATGATACTATAATGAAGGATTTTTTCACAATGATATCTTAATTTTCTTATTCAACTGATGAATTGAATTATCTACCCTCTAGTATACCATCGATTTAGTTGTTCAAAGGTAGCTAAGGAAAGGCTTTGAAATTTCAATACAACACTCTAAACTAATACAGTGCACATCATGAGTGTTACCCCCCCCTCTATCTAACTGGTTACTGGACTCTTGTTAGGAAAATCGCCGAGACACGTCGATTTTTGATTTCGACAATGTACATTTTGGTATGAATAGTTCACTCCTAATTTCATCCCTTACTGAAGGGGAGCAACCCTTTAGAAAAATTTAAATAGCATGGGGTGGCGAGTGACAGCTCATTTTATGGAGGGCTTTATTCTTTATTCAACCGTTCAAAGGAATTGAAATCTTCTCCATTAATTCAAGAGTTATGATTGTTCAAGAATAACGACGATAAACGTAGCGTAATCACCCTTAGAATTGAAAATTTGGCCTTGTATGATTATCGGTTTTGGTTCAGACGTCAAGTGAGATGTATTTGTCATTTACGTAGATATTAACTGCACGTTTTTGTAGGTGTTTTTGGATGTGTTTTTGGATGTTTGAGGATAAATGGTCAATACAAGAAATTGATATCAGAACTGGCCGATACTTGTTGAAAATCCATATTGAAGCTAATTAATACAGTTTATTGTATGATTTTTACAAAAACCGCGACACGTGTTTCGCTATACAATAGCTTTCTCTAATGACGTCACACGTTTCCCCCACTCCTGTTTGAACCAAAAATTGCAGAAAGTTTAGCTCCATAAGAAAATACATGGGATTTTGCGCCAGAAGTCTCTTTGTTACACTACTATGGTATATTTTCAAATGAAACATTCGTAAAAACATTCTCAACAATAAAGCTCATATCACCTTTCTTCCTAAAGTTGAAAATGAGCGACTTTTTGGAAATATTTATTTATTTCATGAGTACAAAACATGTCTTTGTTCTGGCGAATAAAGAGCTATAAAATGTCGAGTAAATATTCAAAAACACCACCTTCTTGTTGAACATATATTTGGGCCCTTCTCTTGACACTACGTGGTGCTTTCAAACAATTCGTCCATCAATTCTATTAATTATAGTTTCAGCATAACTATTCAGTTCATCTACTTTATTATGTTTAATTTCATACACCTCATTTTTCAGAAATCCCCAAAAATAAAAGTAAATACACCATCTGGAGAACGATATCTTGAATTGTTTTTTCCTAACATGAGACACGGAAAACTATTGAATGAGTTGCAACTACTGTCTATATAATCGTCTATTATAATTTCACATACACTAAAAATGTATGTGTAAATGATGTCTTTGGTAGTCGATTGACCATCTATATCTATATATACTTTTAAATGCGAAAGTCACTCACTTAACCTCTGGTAGGAATGGACGACTTTGAGTTGTTATTCTTCGCCAATCAATTACTTAACTCTCACTCATTCGTATCTGTTTCTCCGTACTGGTAAGTCCTAGGAAGCTACATATGAAATTTACTTTTCAACGTTGTTTCTCCGTACCACTATATTTTTGGAGGCTGAAATTTATTTATTTAGGTTCGTTTTATATTGTACCTAGACGTGCAATGAGAATGTATTTTAAAAAATTCCTACTGGGGCGCCCCCTCTGTGGATTAATGCATATGAAAATTAACTTTTCAACGCTGTTTCTCAGTACCCCTATATTTTCGGAGTCTGAAATTTTGTATATGTTCGTTTCATGTAGTAGATGTGCAATAAGAAATTAATTTTGAACATTCCGGAGCTGGAGCCCCAGCCACGGGAGAAAAAGAGTGTTCATAAAATGAAGTTACCTTTCATCACTGTTTCTCCATTCTGCTATATTCACGGAGGCTGACATTTTATATGTAAGATCGTTTTATGTTGTACCTAGATTGCACATAAGAAAAGAGAAATATTTCAACTGGGGCACCCCCTCTGTGGATAAAAGAGTCGCGTTTACATATGAAAATTAACTTTTCAACGCTGTTTCTCCGTACCGCTATATTTTCGGAGGCTGAAATTTCTTATGTTCGTTGTATGTAGTAGATGTGCAATAAGAAAGGATTTCTGAATATTCCAACTGGGGCTCCAGCCGCGGGAGAACAACTACTCCCCTGGCTAATGCCACGAAGGGCGATGGATTATATCCGACAGGCGTCGGTTCAGGAATCTTCACAGAACATTTCCTGCATATGCAATTGGCAATACAACTGAAAGAGTCGACTTCAATTTTGGAACGGGCACACTTGCAGACCGGTTTCGGGCTCATTAGCCACTCATCAGTGCAAGATAGTGGCAATCATGGACCTAAAGTCAATGATATTCCATAATTGACAATCGGAATTCTTTCAGAGTATTTCATTCCTCTTCGTAAGTTGGAGCGAACAACAAAATGTCACTCCATATAGTGGACAGGGTACCAACCAACTGCATATACTATCCAGCTGCAGAAAATTTCCTGCATGTTCCTGTGAAGATTCCTGCACTGACGCCTGTCGGACATAATTCAACGCCCTTCGTGGTATCAGTCAGGGGAGTAGTTGTTTTCTGATAGGCGTCAGTCCATTCAACCTACTGTGTAGGTATATTCGAGGCTGGCTTTTACGTTTAAAGTTCATTTCGTTAGATTTGTTTACTGCCAGTCTTCAAGCATAGCCCACTAACTAATAAGAAAGTTTTTCTTCCTTATTCAGAGGAATCAGGCACATTTCGGATATGCAGTTGGTTAGTTCTCTAAAAGAATTCCGATTTTCAATTATGGAATATCATTGATTTTAGGTTGATGATGGCCACTATCTTGCACTGATGAGTGGCTAATGAGCCCGAAACCGTTCTGTTAGTGTGCCCGTTCCAAAATTGAAGGTCCACTCTTTCAGTTGTATCGCCAATTGCATATGCAGGGAATTTTCTGTGAAGATTCCTGCACTGACGCTTGTCGGATATAATCCAACGCCCTTCGTGGTAGTAGCCAGGGGAGTAGTTGTTTTCTGATAGGCGTCAGTCCATTCCACCTTCTGTGTAGTTATATTCGAGGCTGGCTCGAACGTTTAAAGTTCATTTCTTCAGATTTGTTTACTGCCAGTCTTCAAGCATAGCCCACTGACTAATAAGAAAATGTATCTATTTGGTCTAAAGTCATATCGCCTTAAGCTCATTTCGTTCATAATCCATATGATGATTTTTTTTTTAATTTCACCCACTGCTCATCGCGATTTTAGTAAGTTTTTCATTGAACACAATATGAACATCTTCATTTTCTATTTCTAGATCCATTTGAATGCATTTTAATAAACATTTTCATTACTCTTCAACTGCTTTTTATTTTTTTAATTGTATTGAGTATAAAATATCTATCAATTTAGGTATTACAAAAAAAAACTTGACCAATAGTACTTTTGAATTTGATAAAGTTGTAAGAGGGAGAGAGTGGGTGGGGTATTGAGGAGGAGTACATTACCAAATGACAGTTCAAAAATTAAAATTTAAAATGAAGGTTGTCGATTTAAAAAGTTGAAATTGCACATACATCCTTTGCCTATTTCTTCATCAAAATAGGCAAATTTTCTACCATCTTTCAGATGGTAAAATTGTTATTAATTGATTTGTAATTATTATCATGAATAGTGTATTCGAATGTCACCAAATAAGTAATTGAAGATATTCCGTCCCATACCACAAGACGAATTGGAAGACAACATACATTTCAAATATTTTTGACCTGTATTCATAATTTGATTGCTTTCCGTGATGTGAGGTTGAATTGTTAAGCCTCAATCTCATCTCTCAGTATCGTCAGTGACTAATAAACTCGAAGAGAATATCAAAGTTTTTTCAGCTACATTCTAGCCACTATACATTCTCAATCAGGATCTACATCACCGAGCTGCAATCATGATTTATCCATCATTCCACAAACAATGAAAAGTACGAATCATCCTCACTCAATCTTGACATTTTCCCACGCAAGAATGTTCGAATGGAGAGGTCTCACCACCATTCTAACATGAAAAAACATTGTCAATTTTCAATCCCTACAAAAAAGTTCCATTTCATTTTCAAGAAACAATCGTCAGAAAATTTTGTCAGCATTTCGACATATGATGAGTTATCAAATGCGGTTTGCTAAAGTATAATACTATAATCTATATTTAAACATGACGGTGATTATCTTAATGTGGTTCAGAAATCAGACCACTATATGACGCGAATGGTAGATTTTCAGAAAGCCTTCAAAAGTTGAAGGGTTAGGTATATCTATACCTCCTGAGGGGGTTGAACAACAGACTAAACATTTTCTTTGAATTTGTTCTCATCGGAAATGAAAATATTCAAAGTATCTTCTTATTTTTCAATATAATGTGTGGCAACTTCTGAATTAAGTCAAAAGTGAAACATTATGAATATTGCGATGTGATGAAGATATCGGCCTATAATTCACACAGCCTTCTAATGATCAGAGACAATTTGACAAGATATTCATTAATCATAACAGAATATCATAAAAGTAGGGGTTGGAAATGTATAAAAAATTTTGATAATTCTTTATAAAAGGTATTTATTCAATCAGTCAGTACAGAAATAATAAATAAATTGTTTTAACTAACCTACTAACGTAACCTACGAAAAAGATTCAGAATCTTCCGTGAGCATTCAAAAACACACCAGCTTCAGGCTTTCCAGTTCCACCTGGTCCTCCAAAATGCCTGCCGTATTGCCCGGTTAGATCCACTCCAAAGTTTTTACTTTGGTGAATGTTATATCTCCCACCAGCAGCGACGTCTGTGCCCCAACCACGTGTTCTGTCAGCTCCTATAAAGGCAGAGGAACCAGACGGCTTGTGGTTGTAGTCCAGCCGGCCACCGATTTGGTCAGGCCTGAGTCCATGCGACCCGAAGTTTTTGCCAGCTGATGCAGTGCCGTCCAATCGGTGACGATTGTTATCAAAGAGGGTTCCTCTGTGACTAGCGCCAAAGCCTGTGTTCGATATACCCCAGTTTGTTTGTCTGTAATAAAACATAATTGTTGCAAATAATTCAATATTATCAGCAAATGTAAATTTCAATTTCATTTTGATACATAATAATAGCTATTTTTTAAATACCATAATCGTTATATCTTCAGAGTATATGAAAGATATATTGGAGATACAGAAGTTGGGCATATAACAACCCTCAGGAGTATATATGAAGTTTCGAGATTAATGTCGACTATTCTTTGAAAATAATAAGATTCTGACCTCGTTTGAAATTCTCATTCTGAAGAATGTGAGCCGGTTTGATAAATATAGAAATGAATTTGAGTGAAACAACATAAAAAATAACCAAAGAATATCACTCTTCCACTACCTGGTTCATCGCTAAAGAAACAATATTTAACAGGTATATTAGATCCAACAATAGTATAACCACTTGTCAAAACAAATAACAGTTATCAAAGACCTGAAGAAATTCAGAAAGTCTGTGACTGATCTCTTGGCAGAAAAAAGCTTCGAGGAGGAGAATTGAGGAATAATTTTCATTTGAGTTTTAGTCTTATCATGATATTTCTCTCGATATTTCTCAATTAATCCAATCCAATATTGTGAACATGTGATTTTGATTTATAGGTGTACATTTTATTTTGTCATGAAATTTTTTGTCTTTTTATAAACTTTTCACCTACAGTCAGTGGGCATACTTGAAGACTGGCTATAAATCAAATCATCTGAAAAAACAATTCGTTTAGGCCAGTCTCAACTTCCTATACTGCAGGTTAATGGACTGACACCTATTAGAAAACAACTACTCCCCTGGCTAATACCACGAAGGGCGTTGGATTATATCCGACAGGTGTCAGTGCAAGATTCTTCACTTCACAGTTACTCCTGCATATGCTGCAGGAGGTACAACTGCTGCAATAGATTTTCAATTATTGGAACACACTTGCAGACTAGTTTCGGACTGTTTGGCCACTCGTCATTGTAAGATAGTGTCTATCATCAACTTGATTTCCGATAATTGAAAATCGAATTCCTTCAGAGTATCATTCCTCGAACTAGGCTGAAGCAGACAACACGTTTATCATTGCCCCATCTGCCTGTGAACGAGGTAACCAACCGCATATCCGAAATTTTCCCAATTCTTCGTATAAGGAATGAAAACTTTTCACATATAGTCAGTGGGCATACTTGAAGACCGGCTATAAATCAATACATCTAAAAAATAATTCGTTCAGGCCAGTCTCAACTCCCTACACTGTAGGTTAATGGACTGACACCTATTAAAAAACAACTACTCCCCTGGCTAATATCACGAAGGGCGTTGGATTATATCGCCAGCAGCATATGCAAAAATAACTTTAGTGAAGAATCCTGCACTGACACCTGTCGGATATAATCCAACGCCCTTCGTGGTATTAGCCAGGGGGGTAGTTGTTTTCTTATAGGTGTCAGTCAATTAACCTACAGTGTAGGGAGTTGAGACTGGTCTGAACGAATTGTTCTTTTAGATGGTTTGTTTTATTTTTATAAAGTTACCATTTTTTCAATGTGTGTATTGAATACAAAATATTACAATTTTAGACAATAAATACTATTCTGTTTAAGTTACAAAATTGATATATTATTAGAATTGTCATATATCTTAGACTGGGTTCAAAAGTTACTAAGAAAGAATGGCAGATTAGAATAAAAAATACTTTTTCGTCAGATTTGAGTGCAAAAATATTCGGAATTGTTCATGAAGTTACTATTAGTTTCAATCAACTTTCAAGCTGATCAGTGTTTTGAAATAGATTTTTTAATGGAAGATCCAGAAAGCAGAGGTGAAAACGGATGAATTTCAATACTTTTAAAACTTTTTTCTGGCTTAATTAGATCTACAAAAATGTATATTGATGTGATTATGTATTTGATGTAACTGGGTACATCCAATATTATCAAAATATTCTGTTCCTGTCTTATTTACACCTTCTATAACTTTATTCATTTTCTGTTCGATGATAATGAGTTTGCCACATTGCAAGGTTTTTCATATGCTTGTGGAAGGGTGTTTTCGCTTATCTCTATTTTGTAACAGTGGCATTGCTTCAGTTTTTTTCATGTATGGAAAACTTATTAGGTATTGTAACGAATTAAAGAATTAATTGTCTTAAACAAATTTATTTTAACAATACTTCACTATCACAACTAATTTATTTACACCACTCAGTAACTAACGCTTAATTTATCTTCACCGTTTGTTAACCGCTCGATTCGCTTTCTTGGTACAGACTACTCTTCGGGACGGAGAGCGACGTTTTTATATTGTCAACGAACGTTCCGGATCCCTCTGCGGATTTCGGGACTCATCCGCATCCTTCCCGCTCTTTCGCGGTGTTCCGTCATGCGTCGGTCAGGGCCGGTTTCAGATTCATTACAGTATTATCGTAATATATAATCAGAGAGATTTTTTTCTCTTTGTATATCGTTCAATTTGGAAAAAAGGATTTTTTGTGTTGAGAAATGCACGATGTTTTTATATAGAGTCCTTCATTGAGCGTTTCCTATCTTCAATCTTGGATAAAACAAGAGTGTGTCAGATATCATAAAAAATTATTTTTCATTTTGAAGACCTATTGATGCCATGTGTGGAATATAACATCGTTTGAATGTCCGCCACAGCTTCTCTGGGTGAATGCATACGAAACGTCTAATTTTCCATGACTCTGACGCATAAATCAGGCTGAATTTGACCGATGGCATAGGTTATGTTATCTTTGAGGACCGCTGTGGTTTGTGGCTTATTCTCAAACACCTACGACTTGGGTCAAATCGCAAGATCTCGGTGACCAGTGTGACCTCTTTACATCACCTCCACAATATCCAATGTGACATGAGCTGTGTGGCACGTAGCGCCGTACTGTTGAAACCATATGTCGTTGGTGTTTAAATCATCCAATTTAGGCCAGAAGAAGTTGGTAATCATCGACCTATAGTGCTCGCCGTTGACTTTTGTTCAGGTATCCATTCATCCAGAAATGGGCCTCATCGCTGAAGATGATTTTTCGATGAAAATTAGGGTCAGTATCCAACTGCTCCAGAGCCCATTCAGCCAACACACGTCGTTGTATATGATCGTTTACCGTCAGTTTCTGTGTCACGACGCAAAATTCGCCACATTGTGGTCTACGAAAGGCCGAGTTCTTGTGAGCGAAGCGGAATCGACTGCCCGGGGTTATCCTGCACACTCTCACAGACATAGTCGATATTTTTGGCAGATCTTGCGTTTTGCGACGTACGAGTTTTGGTCAGTTGTTTACTGAACCAGTCAACTCAAATTTATTCACCACATTGCTAATAGCTATAACCATCCATGATGATTTGACAAAACAGACTGAATAAATGACAACTAATTTGACAGATTTAGCTTTAACAAGATGGCCATTTTCAATTGTCAAAGTTCGGAAGTTCTTGTTGGAAGACGCTATAATTATTATTTTTATTGCCGGCGGAAAAAGCTAACACTTTCACCGCTGTCGACACTAATCATCACCGTGACCGTGGTGATAATGCCTTGAATTTATAGAAAATAAACAATTTAACTTCAGGAATTATGTCTGTTTGACGAAAAAAATATTTTTCAACCATTTTATAGTTTTCATCTGAGGATTGGGTTTACAGTTATTGTACATCTATTTCGTTGAAATAGATTGTTTCTATATGGCTACTTTATCTTTGTCATTTGTTGACAATCTTCGAGTTAGGTTGCAGTTTCCACGCCAAATTTATAATCACTAAGTAACTTTCACTATATCGTATTGGAAGTGATAACACAAATATTGTTCGTGAAATTCCCATTTATTTTTTATATAGCTTTGCTACTAGCTCCACCTTCACATGGATATCATCATATTCCAACCAAAACTATAATGAATGATATGCATAAACCTTCCTTTTGAATAACTCCTTTGAAAATACTTTCGGCATTTTTTGTAAATCATTTTACGAGTATATTAAACCTAAGACGACGTGAATATTACTGGAGTTTGATCTTAACACCAAACCGTTATTTTTAGAACCTCGAAACGTGTTTCAATCACCAAGTGATCATCTTCTAGACGAAGATCAAACTAGTTCAATCTTCCTCTTAAAGATGATCACTTGGTGAACCTCTTTGAGAATGATGATTGAAACACGTGTCGAGGTGATGAAAATAACGGTTTTTCAACACCTTGACGCATGTTCCAATCACCAAGTGATCATCTTCAAGTGGAAGATTAAACTAGCTTAATCTTCCTCTTGAGGATGATCACTTGATGATTGAAACACGTGTCGAGGTGTTAAAAAATAATGGTTTGGTGTTAGGAAGATTAAACTAGTGTAATCTTCCTCTTGAAAATGGTCACTTAGTGATTGAAACACGTAATATTCAGTAATATTCATTACTACACCAACGGTTCCAAACCGGGCATCACGAGTTAAGACGACGTGATGATCGAATGTTTTTTAAAAATTACGAAAATTACTCAATATTCAATGTGAAACAATTCTTTTAATAACTCACCTTTTTTCTCTACTAACTGGCACGATGTAATACTGCTCTCCATTTACATCTTCAATAAAGTCCAAGGGAATAGCTGCAGAAAGCGCCAAGCACAAAATTGTAAATACAAAACACTTCATCTTTGTTCTGAAAAAATTTACCAAGTACTTGATGTGATCATGAACAGAATCACAAAAACTATGTCCCCTTCTCGTTTGTACCCTATCTTATATGAAGTATTTTCGCGGTTCTTCCCCATTCTTTGGATCGTATGGGATTTTGTTAGTAATAACAACAAAGGAACAAAGTGACCAGTTTATGATCATTCTCGGCAGTTGAAACGCGATAAGAATGTTTTCTTTCGAAAAAATTAATTACATGTGATAATCACTAAGTGAGTAATGCTAAGTAAATTTTGGGAATACGGTGAATTACAGTTTCAGACATAATGACTTGATGTATTTTGAAAAATATTTGTGAAATTAGAAGTTATTAAGGTGATCTATCTCACCTTGACTTGACTTGAAATTTTATCAATTTGTCCTCTAGTTGACTCTGATAAGTGAGAAGTATTCAGTATCGAATAAAGAAAACGTTTGAGTCTATTCTATCATCCTCAGTCTGTCTGTACACTATTATCCGTAAGACTTGACTTTGGTCGCGGATATTTCTTGAAAGGACACAGATATCTATTCAAAACCTTGAATAGGCGTCAGTGTCCAGATATGAAAAACGCCAGTTGATTTTCAGGAATCAAAAACTAGAAAGCTGTTTTTTTTTTCAGGAAATTTGTGAAGAGGGATATAATTTTTTTTGTGTATTTCAAAAAATTTTTGGACAAAAGCGGTGCATATAATTTGTATCATTAACTTTGAGACTATCAAAAATTAACCTAGTTCAATATTTGATTCAGCTCGAAAATCCTCTGAAAGTTTTTTTCATAGAATCGAATAGTTCGGGACATATTTGAGATAAACGGAAAGTCTAACATCACTTTGTGAATATAATATAAAGTATCAAAATGTTTGTCCTTTTTTTGCTTATAATCCCTTATTATATTCAAAAAAATGGATACCGTGGTCGTAGTATTCACATTATTGGTACCAATATATTAAGGTATCATACAGTGTGTAACAACGAAAACTTAACAGAGCCGTTTTTTAATATAAAAAGTAAAATTTAAAAAAAAAGGTCGGA